CGAGTACGAACCTTAAACACGTAAACCCGAGGTCGAGCACGAACCCCAGTACTCTCGTTAAAGGTCGATTACGAACCTTAATCAAATCACTCACGTAAACCCGAGGTCGAGCACGAACCCCGGTACTCTTACTCAAAGGTCGAATTCGAACCTTCATAACCTCAATATTTTCATTTAAAGGTCGAATACGAACCTTAATCAAATCATTCACGTAAACTCGAGGTCGAGCACGAACCCCAGTACTGTCGTTAAAGGTCGAATACGAACCTTAATCAAATCATTCACGTAAACTCGAGGTCGCCCACGAACCCCAGTACTGTCGTTAAAGGTCGAATACGAACGGGGGGCAAATCATTCACGTAAACTCGAGGTCGCCCACGAACCCCAGTACTGTCGTTAAAGGTCGAATACGAACCTTAATCAAATCATTCACGTAAACCCGAGGTCGAGCACGAATCCTGGTACTCTTACTCAAAGGTCGACTTCGAACGTTCATAACCTCAATATTTTCATTTAAAGGTTGAATACGAACCTTAATCAAATCATTCACGTAAACTCGAGGTCGAGCACGAACCCCGGTACTCTCGTTAAAGGTCGAATACGAACCTTAATCAAATCATTCACGTAAACCCAAGGTCGAGCACGAACCCCGGTACCCTCGTTAAGGGTCGAATACGAACCTTAATCAAATCATTCACGTAAACCCGAGGTCGGATACGAACCCCGGTGTCCGCGTTAAAGGTCGAGTACGAACCTTAATCCAATCACTCACGTAAATACGAGGTCGAATACGAACCTCAACGCTCTTGTTAAAGGCAAATCCGAGAGCGAATACGAACCCCGGTATTCTCGTTGAAGGTCGAGTACGAACCTCAAACATACAAATACGAGGTCGAATACGAACCTCGGCACTCTGGTTAAAGGTCGAGTACAAACCTCAAACACGCAAATACGAGGTCGAATACGAACCTTAGTTCAATCGTTTCACTCGAATTTGAGGTCGAATACGAACCTCGATACTCTCACCCAAGGTCGAATTCGGACCTTAGTTCAATCATTTCACTCAAAGTTGAGGTCGAATACGAACCTCAATACTCTCATCCGAGGTTGAATCTGAACCTCGTTAAAGTTCATCTAACCTTAGTTTGAGATCGAATACGAACCTCAATACTCTTATTCGAGGTCGAATCCGAACCTCGTTAAAGTTCAGACACAGATCAAATAGAGAAACCAGACATCAAAAAGAAAAAGCCACAGGCCACACCACTCACATCAGCAGCTGGAGCGACCTGCTCAGCAACTTGGGGCTCCACCTCAGTATCTCACCCGAGGTCGAATCTGAACCTCGAGATCACATTTGCTTAATCAAGGTCGAGTTCGAACCTTGTTATGCCAAGGTTGAGTCCGAACCTCGAGATCACATGTGCTTAACCAAGGTCGATTTTGAACCTTGTTATGCCGAGGTCGAGTCTGAACCTCGAGATCACATTTGCTTAACCAAGGTCGAGTTCGAACCTTGATATGTCAAGGTCGAGTCCGAACCTTGAGATCACATTTTCTTAACCAAGGTCGAATATGAACCTTGTTATGCCGAGGCCGAATCCGAACCTCGAGATCATATTTTCATAACCAAAGGTCGAGTTCGAACCTTGTTATGCCGAGGTCGAGTCCGAACCTCGAGATCACATTTTCTTAACCAAGGTCGAGTTCGAACCTTATTATGCCGAGGTCGAGTCCGAACCTCATGATCACATTTTTAACCAAGTCGAGTTCGAACCTTGTTATGCCAAGGTCGAGTCCGAACCTTGAGACTATATTTTCTTAACTAAGGTCGAGCTCGACCCTTAAAGATCACATCTACTTAGCAAGATCGAATTTGGGAGCTCCTCAGAAGCCCATTCGCTCTTACATCACTCGGTGCTGGGGGGCAAGTGTACTGGCCAGCAGAGTTGCCAACTTGTCCCTCACCAATCTATTGACCCGGTCAAAGGTTTACCAGCCTGACCAAACAACAAACTCATTATTGTCGAGTTCCTCAGCTCGGCCATGAAACATGGACATCGGAATACCACATCGGCCCAAAGATGCCACGTCATCAAACAGATAAAAATAGAATTTTGTCACCGCACCGCAGTCACAAGCCAAAATCCTAACAATGCCAATGTGCCGGTAGACAGTAAAAACCCTAATATTAATCAAAATTTGAGGTCGAGTACGAACCAAATCCGAGGTTGAACACGAACCTCGATGCCCTCGCCTAAGGTTGAGTTCGAACCTTAATTAAATCATTTTACTCAAAATTTGAGGTCGAGTACGAACCCTAAGGCGGCAAATTCCGAGGTCGGATACGAACCTCGACAGGCTCACTTGAGGTTGAGTTCAAACCTTAACGCGTTTATTTAAGGTTCAAATACGAACCCTAAACATTCTCATCCGAGGTCGAGAACGAACCTTGTGAAGGATTACCTAACCCTATTTTAAGGTCGAATGCGAACCTTGACACTTTTGTTAAGGTTAAGTCTGAACCTCGTCATCCAAGGTCGAATACAAACCTTGGTGCCCTCACCTAAGGTCGAGTTCAAACCTTAATTACATCATTTTACTCAAAATTTGAGGTCGAGTACGAACCTTAGCAATTCTATTTAAGGTCGAGTACGAACCTCGACATGTTTATTCGAGGTCGAGTACGAACCTTAGTATGCTAATCTGAGGTCGAGTTCGAACCTCAGCATGATTAAGTTCGAGTCCGAACCTTCAAAAAAATTATTTAACAGAAAAATCCGAGGACAAATTCGAACCTCGATATGACAAAGGTTGAGTCCGAACCTTCGCAAAAGTTACTTAATGAAAAATTCGAGGGCGAATTCGAACCTCGATGATGGAGGACCATCCTTGAAGACACACGTGGGCCCC